TAGGACGAAATATGCGGACCTATTGATTGGATCACGTCAGAGTGAAAATTACATTGAAGTCGACAATTGTCAATGATCATTCAAACTAAGAAAAAAAACCTGCAGAAAACGTGTGCTGCCTTCGTTTCTCGTAAATACCTATAGTTACACTTGTACCGTTAACCGGAGCCAAGTGTGACTGAGGTGCGACGTAACTGCGGCCAAGGGTGCCCACGAAACTAGGGTATAGTTGGCAGTAACCGCTTACCGTACCTATAGGCTGCACTGCGGTTTAGGATGCCCGTCGTCGGGCACGCTTAACTGCAGTTAAGTCGGACGTCAGTCACACTTAACTGCGGTTAAGTGTGCCAAGGTAACAGTACAAGGACTCATCTTTTGGTGTAAGGGTTGGACACTCACATGGACGATGAATGTCCGACATGTATTCGCAACCAGCATTCGCCAACGAGCACAGCAGAATAAAAGCGGTTGGGGTCATGACGTTGGCTTGAGAAGTTTCAGAGACGCAAAGCCTTGACGGGTGTACTACTCATGGTACCGCGTCTCACGTTCATACTTGGCGTGGCGGTACCCTTCATGTTCCCATTAGGGCCAACGTTGCGTCCCGTTTTTTATTTTTCACCAGAATGGGCCAATGATATATTTTTCCGTGCGTTCGAAACTAGTAAAGGCGAGCATCTTTGTGCAAGTAAAGACTCCATTTTACACTAAACACCGTGTGCCTCAAAAAGGAAAAAAAAAAAAACAAGAAGATCACGAGATGTGAGGCGTAGGATAGTATTTACGATATGAAAGGTGTTCGTTAATGACAATAACCTATATATGGCGTGCTTAGCTCTGATTCGTTTCCAAGCGAGGCGACATTCTTCCCTTAAAAAAATACAGAAATAAATTTTGTGAGGCGCAAACTGCGAACGAACATTGAAAGACGCATGCAATGCGCTGCCTTTCAATGGACGCGTAAAAAACAAAATTTCGTACGTCTTCCGTTGTACTACGTGACAGGCCGGGTCGTCCAACACAAGGAGAACAAAACGGAAATAAACAGCGCGCAAAAATAGACAAGGACGAAGGGAAAATGCGAACAACACAAGGGCTGGACTAACAACTAAACATTTATTGAAAAAAAGAAAAAAACCAACGAAGTAAACCCCGATCGTTTCAGCACGTGTCTAGATAAGCAATTTCTTTTTTTTTGCGAAGAAAAACCGATGTTTGTCTGACGCATGCATCTTGCCCCTCTTTTGTTATTGCATACGCTTCCAATAATTCCCTGGTGCTTTTATCTGTGCCTCTCGCGATGATGGTGACGTTGTTGAATTTGGGCTGGCATTTACAGGCAGCACAATGCAGAGGCAGACTTGTGCTCGTTACTTAAAAAATGGAATGGATTACAATTAAAAATTACCGAGCCTCAAATGTAATGAATTACCGTTACAAATTACTTTCGCTCAAAAGTAACGGATTACTTTACTCGTTACGTTACAAATTACTTTCACGTTACTTTTTTCGTAAACTTATCCAGAAAACAGTAGAAACAATATTGATATTTTTTCGAAAAATGTTCTGGAACACAACTTTTTATTTCTCATGCGCCCGTATTATAATAGTCCTTGTAAGAATAAAATATTGTATTGAAGAGAAAGAGTGCAGGTGCACACCGTTCACCTGTAAGCTGACAAGGCACCGAAAGCTGCAACCCCACCCGCCATCCCGCTGGTCTATGGCCTCCGGAAATGATTCCTGAAATTGCGCAGACAGAGCTAGCGGTGCGCATGCTTAGTAGCATCGTCTACCTCCGCTACGAGATTCGGAGCTAAAGAAGCGATCTACGAAAGCTTCCTTTTGACTCGCGTGTTTCGCCTGTTATTCACACGAAAAGAAAAACTTGGTTCTAACGTCACGAGGTAAAGCCAATGCAGAATGCAGCTGTCCCAGCTTACCTTGATGTGTTTCCGTAGATTAGAGTTTCTTGTTGTTTCTGATGACAATGTGTGTTTTTTGGCAAGCAAAGTGTGCACTGAAACTCTAGGTTTCCGTTCTCCTTTATGCCCTGATTTTTTAACACCTTATTAGGAGATCGCCATGGAGACGACGGATACTCCATGACCGAAATCTCGGCCAGTCAGAGAAAAAGTGGCGGTTACGGGTCATTGATCGTTCATCGGTTCTCACTTTCATACCACTATTTGTGGAGGACAGGGGAGGCGATGGCATGGTGAGCCAGAGAAGCGGTGGTGCGCGATCGGTCTCGCAAAACAATAGAAGATCAGATCACTTTTACGCGTTCTCTCTCTCTCTGTCAACACTCCTTAGATGGCCTAACACCCCCCCCCCCCCCCCCCCTTTGTTGACACTTGACTGTAAAGTGAGGAATGAACTCGAACACCAGGCCCAGACAAGTAAACCAAACGAAGTATCGTCCGTGTCCTCGAAGACGACGTTCTTAGCCTCGCGCCGGGCGCTTTTCAGCCGTGCCTCAAAAGCGTGCTAGAAGAAAGTAGCGCACATCAAAGACAAAAAGAATTCAACCCCCTCGCGCGAGGCTACATCGTCTCTTACGCAAGTTGTGAACCCGCGAATCGTGGGGGTAAAGACCCGAGTTTGATGTCTGTGCAGATGGCGGGAGACGTCGAAGAAGTTGGAAAGGGTGAAACGGTGTAAAAGGCAAAAGCAAATAGATACGAAGAGCTTTCTCCTGCCCGGGAGAAGAAAAACACTACGGAAGACGACAGAGAGCCTACTCGGCGTCGTCTTACTTGATCTTTGTCTTTCGTATATTTTTACATACCTTGTCGGTTTTTCTAGTGGTTCAAGTGACCGGTCATTCAAAAGATCGTGTTTTCTTTTCGGCTATTCTCCCCTTTCTGTTGTTTTCTATTTTGTTGAAGTTGCTCTCTTTGTGCTGCTGAATGTTCTGCTCGTATTGCTCCAGTTACAGTATTATGCTCATATTTTTAAAAAAGTAACGAGTAAGTAAAGTAATCCGTTACCGATATTTTGTAACAAAATTACATTACGAATTACTTCCGAAAAAAAGTAACGTGACAATTACAAAATTACTTGAAGAAGTAACGGATTACAAGTAATCCGTTACTTGTAACGGATTACCTTCCAAGACTGTGCAGAGGCAAGTGACCCCCGGCGGTCGACCGGAGTGACCAGTCATGTTCACGTGCCCTGTCATTAATGCATCGGCCAGTTTGGCTGATGTACACTTTTCCGCAGCTTAATGGGATCTTGTATACCACACAATCAACATACTTGTTCCTGTGCTTTACGGCACGTTGGCTCTTGCCCCCAGCCTTTTCCGCAACCCTAGGGCAGAGCTGCGCCAACTTTCGAGGTGCCGAAAAAACAACGGGGATGTCTAACCGCCCAGCTACCTTTTTCAAATTGTGCGAGATTTTGTGCATGGAAGGGAGCTCCTGTGGTCTCTTATTCGGTCTCTCTTTTTTCTTACTTAACCCTCCCCCGATCTTTATTAACAATGTCTGCGTCACTGCCAGAATAACTGACGCTGGGAAGCCAGCATCTGTCAGCCGCTGTACCTGCATCCTAAAACTTTCCATTTACCATAAACCAACACGCCTACATCACGACACTAATCCTGTGAGAACAAAACGTCGTGATAGCATTCGAAAAAAAAAAAAAAAAGAACGATACATTTTCTTCCTCATTTGGGACTGGTTTGATTGCATATCTCGATGCTTAATTTTACTTGCGATAATCTTTTTGATGTACATACTCTTGAGCCGTACTTTCATCCTACTCCCAGGATCCGAAAATCGTTCGACAGGGCTTGATGTTTCTGGAAGACACTTTATCTCCGTCCACAAAATTTGTTTTTACGTAAACTTGTAGTAGAGTTGTAAAGACAAAAAGTTTCATTATTAATGTGCAACAAACGACAAAAGGTTTAATTATTAATGTGCAACAAAAGACTCAAAAACCTTGTTTTTTTCATTCTATTTGTTGTTGTTTTTTTGCTGCGAAGTATTTAAGCGTGATGGAGATGCAACTGAAGAGACCAATTAAAATTGCTGTATTCCTTTTACTGGTTCCCATCTCGCTTCGGCCGCCCATGAAGAAGCATAATTTATTCAAGATCCGTTTCATGATTAAATCCGCTTCTTGCTTTTGAATACTTTATTAAACAAAAATCCTAACGGTTTTTCTTCTCGTTTTTTTTTTTTTTTTACCGATTTCGGCCACTGGTTAGCGGACTCAATTTTTGACCAGCTCTCTGTGTACTGTTAGTTTCGAACTCGCTTAACTGGGTTGACGACAGCCGTTGCTGATTTAAGGCACGCGCTAGTTCCGAACTGCGGCAGTGACGTGGCACGTCATTTCAGCTTGCAATTGTCGGAAAGGGCCCGTCTTCCAAGATATCTAGGGAACCACTCCTGCCCTTAGGGACAGGCTGCACCATATATATAATTGGAAAGAGTGACAATTGAGAAGTGCAGCCGTAGTGATACTGTGAACGAAGAGGGGAGAAGGTGATTATTGAATTTACCGCATTAAAGGTGGGGAAAGGGAAAGGGAAAGACAGCTAGCGAAAAATTAAGCCAGGAGAGGGAATTGAACCCGTAACCTGCGCCTGTCCGGGCCGGACTCCGGTCCAAACGTTGAAGAATAAACCGTCCGTTGTTGCTGTTTTCACCAAGGGTTATCTTTTCAGTTATATATATATATATATATATATATATATATATATATATATATATATATATATATATATATATATATATATATATATATATATATATACACGAGTATATATCACATTTCAAATCATGCCCATTCCGTGTTCGGTCTTCACCTCAGTGTCATATCAAGCTTACATTGGAACATTTTTCCTCTCCGTCCTAATCGGTTAGTGATTCAGCAAACCGTTAAACACAAACTGGCAGAAGGGAGAGAGCCGCTTTACTTCCTTCTCTTTCAATCTTTTTTGTTTTTTTGCCGAGCGTTTGTTTTGGCGTCCTCCGCAGGTGTAGAAGAGGCCTGGGTCGAAGACACGGACCAGGTCCTGAAAACGAGGCGTCGGCGGCGGCACTCGACCGACGGCGCGGACTGCTTCGTCGTCGACCCGAACGCCAGCAGCCCCGGACTCGCGGTGCGCTGGACGCCGTGCAACGGCACCTTTGGCGTCGTGTGCGCTGCCGACATGGGACAGTTTCAGAGTGAGACACGTCCCTTTGATTGCTCAACGGTCATTCGCTTGGAGATGAGAGAAAGACATTGCCCATGTAAAAGATGCCAGAACCGCTTAAAGGGGCGATGCAACGATTTTTGTATTTTGCGCAAATACCGCTTAGAACGGATCCCTGACGTTAATGACCTGTGAAATACCTGTTTGTTTTTCACCACACGCAATCGAAGTCACAGAAAAAAATAAAGAAAAACGAGCAGAGGTCATCCCCTCAACTCGCAGCCAGAACAAGCGGCCACGTGATCTGGAGCCGATTATATGCCGCCAATGTTGATCATAGCCATGCGCTGGGGTTGGCAAGGCATAGGACACGCGCTGCGTTCCAGACATTGTTATGGTTCGGCTGTTGTCGTCATTGCAGCGATTGGACACAGGACACTACCCGAATGCTTCTCGAGCTGTGGATTATCACGAGCCCATATTGAGTGCCCACGCAATGCTCGGGTCCAATCTATAAGCCGCATTCAAATATCGTCACTGGGCGGTACTGCTACCGCCGAGCTACGTCATCAGGTTTTGCGAAGGAGAGATTGAATGAAAACGCTCGGTTTTGTCCTCGAAATTACAGCGCAACAAAGGAGTTTCTTGGTCAGTGCCGTTGCGTGCGAGTATCCTTGAGTCCCATTAGTGCCAGTAAGCTCGTGTAAAGTGAAAAACATTCCAATTGAATATCGTTGCACCGCCCCTTTAACTATGGCCCTATGGGTGGGCAATCGACCAAAGCTGCTGTTCCAGTAAGCTGATAAGAGCGTTCGAACGATGAAGGGTGCGCTCCTGGTGGGGTGGTTGTCACGTGCGCACTTACTGGATCATTGGAGAGTATATTGTGCAGTTTACCAAGTTATGCGACTGACATATCTGGAGCATCTGCTTTCCCGGAAATCATCTGAGAGACCCAACGGCTGCAATGTACGGAGAGAATTCGAAAAATGATAATGTGTTAAAAAAAAAAATCTTACTGAACATGACGTTTCATCGTGCCAGTGAAGCAGACCGTTTTTTTAAACATATTTTCAGCCTCTTGATTGGCCGAGCTACCTCCCTACGTTGCAGCTATTAACTTTCTTACGTCACAGACGCTCCGTGTTTCTTAGTGCGCACTTTGAATACCAATCACTGGTACTCCTTCGATCAATTTAGCCACTTAAATTATAGAGCGGTATCGTGCTCCAGTGGTCGCAGTGTCTCAGTGGCGAAAGGCGTCCGTCCCTTTTGCTAGGCATAAACCACGACCTACTGGAAAGCGATAGCCCCTATGCCACAATCATTGGCTCTACTTGTTTGGGGAAAACCGCTGATAGGTGTTCCCACGGGACAGCCATGTGCAGTGTACACTCGGAGGCTTCCGCAAAGTGAGTCCCGTTTGCGGGTTCATTTCCAGAGGCCTGCGGTGACCCCGGCCCCCTCGAAAACGGCACGGCCGAGCTGAGGAACGCCGTGGTTCCGGGGAGGCTTCTGGAAGGCACGCAAATCACGTACCGCTGCTCCGAGCTTCACTCCCTCAGCGGACCAAGCAAGGTCACGTGCCTGAGCAACGGCACCTGGACAGCACCCAAGCCGCGCTGTGTCAGAGGTGGGTGCTCTTGCTCCGTCTCAATAATACCTGGTGTTATTCACTGATGCCATAACTGAGAACGTTGTTGGTGAAGAACGAAGCTTGAAAATAATAAGCTTCCTATTCCGTCAGCTCCAAGAACACCAATTGGAGGATTTTGTTTTTCGCAGTTACCACGTGCATGGAACCTCCCGTACCGCCTTATGGAGAAGTGGTTTACTCTCAGGAGCTCGGCCCTGGTTTCAAGTAAGTCGACTCGCCAAATGCTGAGCACAATCCGTGGAAGGTGTCTTACATTATCTTTCTCAACTGTCAGTGATCACTCGCTCCCCTCACCTTATATGAGATATCAATTCAAGCGGCGAGAGTTTCAACGCCACGTGCACCAAATTGTGTACGTGAGATTTAGAAAAAAAGAACACACACACAATCACAATTATAATTTTGAGCAATTAAATATGCCCGATTTACTCCTCTTTTAAGAAATATTTTTCTCTATTAAAACTGTTTTTTGGAACCACAGACAATTATAGATTGATTATAGCTTCATTACGGGAAACAAAAAGTACACTTAACAAAATAAAAAGAGAGACGTTAGTTTGTGCATGACATTAAGCCGAATATGTAAGCATGAATTCTCCCAGCTTTTGGAAATTTTATACCTCTTTCTTTTTTACATACAAAAGACAATCAGTAGAACCACGAAATACAATCCCCCATAGCGGCCGGATCCATAATTATTTTAAGATTTACGTTAAAAAATTATGGCGAATTGCTAGGCAATTGTATTCTATACCTGAAACATTCTAACATCCCAAACTTTTAGCGATACGCCTACGTTCACGGCGCTCTTCATCAAATAGTTTAACGCGTGCCATGTGTGCACTTGATAGTTGTCCCTGGAATGAAGCGCTGCTAACGATAATGAAGCCAATAAACCTGGCGATCTTCCCCAGCCTTCCATACTCTCGTCTCCCGTCCTTCAGTGCGCACAGGTGGTTGAGCTCCCCCTCGCCTGCCTCACTCCTCCTCGCCTATCCTTCTGGTCACATGACCTCCCTGCTCACTAATCAGCGTCGAGCACCTCACTCGTCCTTTCCCGCACATACACAAAAGCGGGTATATTATAACGCCCCCTTTTCACACATAATAGACCCAAAACTTCAGTTGGGCGTACAGCGCACTGAAGTTAACTGAACCGAAGGCACCATCTTTCACGAGCGGCTTGAGAGTCGAGTTCTACGCCCTATTAGAATAGCTAATGCACGTACGTGTGACTGGCTGCGAAAAAATTAATCGGGGCTTTCTTGGCCCTACTGAAAAACCTCGGTGTTTTTTCTGTAGTATTTTATGCGTATATTAGCTGTTTAATATGTAACATCCCACTGGGCATCAAGCCTCTCGTAAAAGTTGGGGCCGGTAGTTCGACGTCACTGCGCTGTACGTGGAACATAAGTTTTGGGGTGTCGTATATGTGAGAAGAGGTGTAATGGTTACACCTTTTCTTTAGAGTGCCCGCGTCAGCCAATCAGTGCCGAGCCTCATAGACACGCTTTTATCCAGGCTTCACTTTTACCTGGGTTTCACGAAATGCCGAACACCTAGCCGAAGAACGTTTTGCGTTAATATAAAGAAAAATAACACACTATTACATGTTTAAGATGTCTCTCGATAGATCACTGTCCACACACGCTTACAAAAGTTATCAATGAGTTTCAATTGATATTCTAATGTATTCCTATACAATACATTACAAACTCAATAAAAACTCGTTGATAATTTTTGTAAGGGAGGCGCTTAATACGTCGCCCTTTCTACGTTGAACGGCAATTGTTTTGACCGGATATGGCGTTTTGGCAGCTTTCCGTTGTTTTCGAACGTTTCTGAGCGTTGGAGGCACTTAGAAAGGTCGATGACCAACATTATTACCTATTAAAAGCTCCTTAATAAATTCTGCCACAAGATGCTCAGGAAACACAAATCATTGTTTTTAAATCAGTTAAACAATGAAAAGAACGATCACTATCGCGCCACAATTGTCGTGCCCAGTTTGAATAGTAAAAAGGCCTCCCACCCTCCCTCAGACCGCCTGAAATGTTGCCCCTTCTAATTTGCCGACCTCATTAAAAATATTAAAAGGATTTGCGTGCATCGCGGTGCAGTACGCACACAGAGACACCGGAGAGTGTTGCGAGGGGCGAAAGCGGACTTACCAAAATGGAAGTCGCTCGAGGACCAGCCGTGAACGCCTGAAAACGCGGCGGAAGTAGCTCGAGCGCCATACGCGGCCACTAAACTCACCGTTCAACGTCTAGCGTGGAACGTTCTAGCGTACCTCTGCAGACTGGCGTAAGAAGACAACGAGGCCTCATTTTTTATTTTTTTTTGTGAATCGCCAGTCTTCTTTAGCGACCCGTTTCTCCTTATGGGCGCTGGACAGGATCGGTCGTCAGACACTGAGGCTGCCCCTGCGCACGACCCAGGCCCCGGTGGAAGTGAGCCTTCCCCGGGGTCACTTCCGGGTCGGGACGCGGGCCACCTTTACCTGCGTGAGCCGCTTCTACACCCTGGTGGGCTCCGAGGTGCGCAGATGCCTGCCGGACGGGACCTGGAGCGGCAGGACGGCCACCTGCATTCCGGGTGAGCATGCAGCTGGCGCCGATGGCGTAAAAGCGACACAAAGGCGACGACCGCCATGACGATACACTTTTGCAGCGTCTTCATTGGCTCCATCGGATCATAGCATTGGGTGCGGTCGAGCATACTGTGAAACAGACCCTGCAAGTCCAAGTAGACCGGGCGGGAATACACCACCAAGTAATGGAGGCTGCACCTATGCGTGTAGAAGTAGAATATATAAGCTCTAACTCGGAACTGGCAGCAAGGACAAGCAGGAGTAAACAGCTTAAAAGACCAGATAAAGTAGAAGTAGAATAGACAACCTCTAGGTAGCGATTGAAGGACAAGCAGATGTATAGACTGTACGAGTGCAAAGGGTGAGGGAGTTCTACTACTGGTTGGAGCTGAGGTTGTTGCTTCATATTTTTGGGTCAAGTAGAGAAGGAAGAGGAAGGCTTCAATATAGTTTATAGTGCGGCAGTTGCCTATTTCTGTGTTTATTAGTGTTCACCTGCCACCACCCAAGAGCGAGGGAGCTCGACGAATGACCAGGTCGAAAAAGCAAAAAAACGACAACAAACTGATCTAGAAATGTTGTGTGCGGTGTGAAATCGGGCAGGACGTCTTATGTTGGCGTGCCCGCGTCACATGGCAGAATTTTCTTTTGAGTTTAAAGATTTCCTTAAGCTTCGTGATTTGCCGGGCTTTTCCTGTACATTGTAAAGGTGCTGCCCACAAAGCGCTTGGGAGAGGCAGTCGCTGCAATTTCCACGAATGGCGAGCCTGCAAATATGTGTGGATCTAAAGAAAACGCGTTTTGCGCTATGACATTGCGCGTGACACGTGAGACGTCGTGCTGAGATGTCAGTGCACAGACTGCTCTTAAGGTCATATGTTCGAGCCCATCATTCGCTGAGTTCCCTTCGCAGATGGCGGCAATCTCACAGGACGTATGGGCGCGCTGTAGTTTTGAGCACCGAGTGCACTGCAGGGAAGTGTACACGCAGAGCACTTCCTGAGAGCAGCGTACCCGCCACGTCGTTGGCGGCCCCTCGCAGTGTGCGGCCGCTCGGACTCCCCACGGTCCCCGTTCATCGTGCACGGCAACTTGAGCGAGATCGGTCAGTGGCCCTGGCAGGCGGCGCTGTCGCTCTGGTCCCCCGCCGAAAACGCCTGGGACCTTAGCTGCGGCGGCAGCCTGCTCTCCGAGAGCTGGGTCGTGACAGCCGCCCACTGCGTGGCTCGGGACCGCAAGGGGAACCTGCTGAACACCCGTAGCCTGCGCATCGACCTGGGCAAGTACTACCGGGACGACTCCAGGGACGACGCCATGGTGCAGACGCGCTCGGTGAGCTTCCGAGAGTTGCCTGATACCATGACAAGGCTTTTCCTCCTAAACGTCATCACTATAGTGAATCCAGGCAGCGCCGCCAGCGTGTCTTGCAGTGTCTCAGAACGAGCGCGCACCCGGAGACGCCAAGACGCACACGTCTACCGCTGTGGCTACTCTCGCTTCAGCGTTTTTCCGCTCGGCGCGGGTCAGGCATCCCCTAACGATGATGAATTCGAGGTGAATTGAGTTGCCATACTATTTATAGATGTATTCACTAGGCGGCCATATCCGTGTGCGCTTCTGCTGAGCGCGTGCTGACGGCGAGCTTCCGAAGTCCTTTTGGAGCGTGCATTTAGCACCATCAAGGTTGCCGGTCTTAGAAGGCTATTGATGTGAGATCGTTCTGAGCATGCCCTCTAAACAGCGCCCTCAAATATGGCGTCCAGTGAATACCTCCTATAGGGTTTCTCGATGCTGTTTTTCTTGGGCCCCCTCTCTGTAGATACCTTTTCCACAAGGGCGCCGGCAAGAGATTTCGAAATTGCGTTTGTTGCCTGTCTATGAAGTTACGTTGGAATGCCGTAACGTCATGAGTTCCTAAAAAGCAGCGCGAGTTCGCGGCAGTATGGCTCTCTCGTGGGGTTACTTAGTCTTCAATGTGACTTACCGGGGAACGCTCATTAGTTCAGACTGCAGCCAAAGTTACAACCGCGAGCTAGCCCGCGCTCCTGGCTTTGAGACATGTATGTCTAGCACGAGTGCTCGATCGTTCTGCGGAACAGCGCTTCAAAGCAGCGACCTCGAGCTCTCGTGATTGAGCATAGCCACCTCTATACTCACAAAGCCTGGCAGTTCGACGACGTGGCCATAGAGTGCCCGGTCACAGATTTGGGGGGCGAGGATATGGTAGCACAGAGCATTTCTCGGGGAAGCTGGTAGTGAGCGCACAGCTTTTGCAGCGGCGAGGACGTGCGAGGAACGCGAGGAGCACGAGAGGACATCCCATCGCTTGGGAGAAGTGTGTTATCGCGTCTCGCCACAGCGGGGCGCCCGTTACATGCCTCTCCTCTCATCCGTTGTCTGTCGTTCTACCTTTTCACTTTCGGCGGCCGCGTCTCGTGGCGATATGCCAGGCTTTGTCAGTGTAGAGGAGGCTATGGGTTGTGATATTGGCTGCAGTCTCAGGTCTAGAGTGCTTCTGCAACCTGCTTTCCACACCATCGAGATCGCCGTTCTTTGCAGACGTTGGGTAGAAGCTTGATCTGAGGATGCGGGGACGTCTGTCAGGCCACCATATGCCATTGTTGAGTACTTGCGGTTATTTCTACTTAATGGTTCTCTCTAACCACTACTTCTGCGGTGTGAAACTAACACGGTGGAGTGAACGCTCGTGGAACATAAAAGGCCGGCATGTTATTTACAACTAGACGAGATTGTTACGCGTAGAGTGCCTTCATACACGTGCGCGCTTTTGCTTGAGTGGTGGCATCTCAGCCATCTTTCCGCCCATCCGTTTTTTTTTATGCGTTTTGAAGTGCGCGCAATCCGGTGTCACTCAGCTCGAGCGCGTAGCTTTGGCTAATGCATAGACGTCATTTTCCCGCCCAAGTCACGCACTGAGTGCGCCAGAGCGTCACTCGCTGGCACATTCAGGGCAACAATGGATGTTTTCACCCTGAGACAGAAAGACTACAATGTAGGCTCGCAAGTCAGAGCCATTTATACTGAAAGAGTTTGGCCAATGGAGTGAGTTTGTTTCCCGCTAGAACAAGCGCATTTCGCGATAACACAAAATGGCGTTACTTTTTTGTCTTCTTTATTCTCGAAAAATCGCATTGAGTTCCTATGAGTCAGTGCCCCAAAATGGCGTACGGAAGTAGTCATCTTCCGGTTGTCAGACTGCGCCGCTGTGGTTGCCAGGCTGTCGAAATCTCCTTAAGAAGGCCAAACTCTATCAGTATAAACGGCTCTGACCCTAGTCACGCGTTGACGGCACCAAGCAGCGAGGTTCCCAACTAGAGTGCCCTTGACCTTGCATGAACTATTGACATCACGAGCGCGATACGGATAGCGCTTGTCGCTCGCCGGCTTTGAAGCGAGAGTTACCGCTCATTCACACTGGAAGCGGATCCGCGTTCGCAAAGCGGTTGCGAACGCGGTTGTATAAAGATCCAACACAATTGCACGCGCACTTGATGTCATCGAGTGCGCGTGCCATTGTACTGGATCTTTATACAACCGCGTTCGCAACTGCTTTGCGAACGCGGATCCGCTTCCAGTGTGAATGAGCGGTTATAGAGAGCTTGCGCTCACGTCATTTTATTTCCATACCCCATTTAAAGGTGAACGTCGACAGCGCGCGATTGCGAGAAAGACGTGGAAAGGAAATACCGTTAGCCAGAATGGCTCCCTCGTGATGGTCGAGGCTGAGAGCTCGTGGTGAGAGACGCTTTCTCACGTACTCCAAGGAAACAAAAGGAACGAACATCCCAAAATTACCTGAAATTGCTATCATACTTATATCTATCAGACTCGCGTATTTTATCTCCCCGAAAAGAAGTTTTTGACCAGACGTCTTGAAAGGCTGTTACAACCATAGAGTTATTATAATGTATGCTAGAGGTTCAACTTGCGCTGGTGTCTATGCGACTTCCGTGACGCAAATTGAAGCAGACAGCAACCAGTCTACTTTTGCGGTACTCCTGTGCATTCCTATGGGAAAACGCGCGTGCATTTTGTCTCTTCGCCGGAAAATAACATGGAACACTTTGGTTATTTCGGTCGTACCGAATAGTATGTGTCTTAGTTAACATTGTAAAAATGTAATTGCTTTAGTTAGCGCATTTTGCTTCATCAGTGAGCGATGTTTAACTTCGCTGCATTTCAGTCCCAAACGTGTGTTCCGCAGCAGGTGTGTAAAAACAAGCGGCGATTCAAAGCAAAATTACGATCGAAACAAATATAGAGTGTGTTCAAGGCTCGCCAGCATTCCGGTGACGCTTGTATATTGATAATATGCCAGTCCTGTCACCATATGAAAATGATCCCGTCGTGCATGAGCGGATAAAAAACTTCAACGTAGAGAATAAAGTCCGTGGGATATGAAAGGTGTCTCTTCGTATTATTTTCTCTGCCGAGCAGCTTTTATCGCGCACTTGTTCTCAAAGATGTCTAGCGCGCGGTTGATATTTTGAACGTAGAGCACGCAGCTTCGCTCAGGACAGAAAGAATAAAGCGGTACTCACTTATTTAAAATTGAATAGATTACGTGGGCTTCAATTTATTTTGATCGTACATATGCACTGCGAGCTACTGATCCGGTGTTGCTGCGTAGTTCTTGCCGCCGCTCTTGATTTTCCAGATGTCCTTCGTTCGTTTGGCATGTATATCCCCCATGCTGGAAATCGCCGACGCCGCGTTCGCACTAACAGTGTCCGACAGTGCACATAAATACACGTACGAAGCCGTTTTAGCACTGTTTTTAGTGCGATGAATACGAGAGAAAAACGCCGTAACTGACCAATTCTTTCGTCGGCCTGACTGAGAAATGTTCCAAGCTACCTAGTACGTACGAATAATTTGGGATATTTGTTCTTATGATCGAGCGCAGGGAGAAAATGCACTCACTTTTCCCCATTGAAATGCATTACCGGAAGTCAATTTTCGACTGGTTGTTGTCTGCTTCAATTTGCGTCAGCACACTAGCGCCACTTGAACCTCTAGCGTACATTATAATAACTCTATGGTTACAACGGTAACCGAGCGACAGGTTCCTATTTCTGTTTCGATTAAAATAAATAATACACAAAAGACCACACATTAAAAAAAAAAACCGAGATGGCTAAAGAAGGGCGTCGATTACTTCTTAAGCGAGCTTTCTCCGAGGGATGACAGCTATTCGATGGCTCCTGTATGGACCAGGCGCAGGAGATCCACGTGCACGAGGACTTCGATCCGGTGCGGTTCGACTCGGACATCGCGCTGGTGCTCCTCGACCGCCCCGTGGAGCTGACCAGTCGCGTGCAGCCCGTCTGCCTGCCCACGGAGCGTAGCACCCAGACCAACATCGTGGACGGTCACCTGGGCATCGTGAGTCGCTGCCTTGCCGGTTCTCTGTTCGGGCGCCAGTTGTCGACCGGGGAGAAAGCTCAAACTTCACGAAGAATGGGGCCTTCCTTAAAGAAAGAAAAAAGAAATGTGTTGTACAGAAATGAATAAGCGAGTGTAATTCTCCGCTTTCTAGTGCGTAGAGGGGAAATCTGGCAAGGGTATAGTTACGCAACGTTGTGAGGCACTTAACCGTTCGTTACGCGTAGTGACAATTGCATGACCACGTTCCGGTGCGACGACGCCAGTTCTCAAAACAAAATAACCATAATGAACCTGGAAATTTGGGATCCCTGGGTATTGCAGTGTAACATCAAGCTCGTTTCAGTGCTCTGCCGCCATTTTTTCCGAAGTTATCCACGAGGCACTCGCCTTGAACATGAAATTGACCAGTAGTAAAAATAAATGAATATATATATTTTTTTTTTCTCGTCGATTTAGATTGCCTATTCTCCATTCTTTCTTTTTCAAAGAAGGTTGCATTTCGGTGTGTCGTGCAGGTGACCGGCTGGGGCCAGACGGAGAACCGGAGCTACGCGGACGCGCTCCGCGAGGCGGTGGTGCCGGTCGTGTCGGCCAAGGAATGCGAGCGGGCGTACAAGGAGGGCCGCTTCCCGCTCACCGTGACGAGCAACATGCTGTGCGCGGGCTACGAGCGCGGAAAGATCGACGCCTGCACGGGTGACAGCGGAGGACCCCTGGTGTTCCTCGACGAGGACGTGGCCGACCGCCGGGTCTGGGTGCTCGAGGGCATCGTCAGCTGGGGCGGGCCCCGGGGCTGCGGGGCCCCCAACCACTTCGGCGGGTACACCAAGGTCCAGGCCTTCCTCGACTGGATACGGGAGCTCCTCTAGCCGCTCGGTGTAACTTGGTCGCACGGACGGGGCAGATGGCGTTGGTTGTATCTGAAGATGTTCAGGCGACCATTGGAGCGATGGTTGTCTTCTAACCGACTCTGGCCAGTTGATGGCACTTAAGTGGAAGGAAAGTTTGCTATACCCGCAGGCAACATTTTGTGGCTATGCAGCCCAAGCTATGGGCGCTCGCATACCGATCAAAGCTATGCCCGCGCACTCTTCATTACTTTTCAATAGTCAGAGAAAGAATTGTTCGCAAGGATAAACAACAGACCGATCTCACCAGCAAGTTTGGCTACGCCACCGCTGCCGCGATGCATCCAGGGAACTTTAGTCTTTCTGCACGTGCAACAACCTCGCTGGAGCTTTGAGCGGGCAGAGCATGAGACTGCATGAGCCGTGTCGTGCACTGCCGCCTGTCCCCTATGAACTAAAGTTACGGCGGCGTCACGTATGCGCCAATGCTTGGTGAGATCGGTCTATTGCAAGCATGGCGCCTCACTGGTGTCCTATGCGTGCATGCATGTGCAGCGTGCGCATGAACTTATCTTCGGCAAGCTTGACATTACACGTACTTGCCCGCACGAGCAGAGACATGGCGGCGGCCAGAATCCCTGCTTGTATTCGCCTATGCAATCGGGTGTGCACTCGACGGGTTCTGTAGTGCTATTTTTTTGTTTTGGTTGGCTCTTGAACAACATCAGTGCCAAAGTTGGGCAATACCACGCCCTTGGCAACCTTGTCTTTTTTGCCTGTGATGGAAGTATGGCGCAAACGAAAGGTTGCTAACGACATCTAAAATGACCGCAAGTGGAGTTTTTTTAATTCGTTCGAATCGTTCGACTATACTCAAGCTCCTTCAATAACGTCAGTGCCGAACCTACCGTGTGACTCTGTTTCTGCGAATAAACTCTCATTTTTGTTGATTTTATAAGTACCTTTGAAGGATGGAGTGAGATTTTTCATATTCAATTATCTCTTCTATCGGTACCATAAGGTAGCGATCAATATTCTTTGAAACATCGCTTATTATAGCTACCACTATTCACCCTTTCATCCCCTTTTATGACTCCTCTCTTTTTCTGTTCTTTTTTTTTCGAGTAGTGACCATAGCCAGTAATGCAAACTGGATGTTATGAACGTTTGTGCAGGGTGTTTCTGATCGCTCTGCGGTCGTAAAAACATTCGTATAAATAAAACACAGAACAGAGTGCACAGAAACTTTCTACAAAGGTGCCCTTAGGTGGCGTGTTGATCGTAGTAAAAGTTTATAACCGTAGGCTCAAAAAAAAAAAATTTGAACTAAAATAAACTTTTTTTTAATGTGTGGATTAAGCAAAAAGGCAAAAACAGTCCGGTTGACTCTGCCACTCACAGATGGCTCGACGCACGCTCTGGTCTCTGGTCTGTAGGATCTGCTTTGGGGTGTCCATCTCTAAGAGAAGATTACACGTGTTTGCTTTATGTTACACCATTTGGGAGTAGCAGCGTTAATTTTAAGGTTTCTACCGTTTCCCTTCATGCGCGTAGGAAGGAACTGGTTTTCCCAGGCTTAAATACTTTTTACTCAAACTTGCATTCGTAAAATTTTGGTATAATAAACGCACCATTCAAAGACACGTTTATGAAAAGTTTTCATTCAGTTTCTTATTTGGTATATTTATACAATTTTTCTTTTTTACGCCCAAGTAGCGTTCGGAAACACCCTGTAGAGCTAGAGATCAAGCAGCCCCTGAGACCCGCTGACATTTATATCGCCCTTCAAAAAGGAAACTCGGCAGATTGAGAATTTTTTACCAGGTCTTTAACGTGCCTCGAGCATTTCGGTTTCACCACCGCACGTTGCTGTTGCGTCCTGTCCAGGTTGAATCGCCAAGCACAAGCCAAAAAATGGACGTGGTTTTTCTTACCGAAACAATAAATTGCGCATCACCGAACGCGCATTCTCCGTCTAAATATAGTGCTAACGGTTTGAAGCAGATGCCGAAGTTTCAGAACTAGACGTTATCTTATTCAAAGGGTTTAAGTGATTTCCTGAAAGTTTCAAAGGGAAAACGGCGATCGACGAAGCTCTCGAATATTGTGAGCTGACTAGAACCAGTTACCGAAAACGGGTTCCATTATTCCATTGATTGTTTTCAGAAAATCTCCAAGTTTTGAATGAAAATTTCTGAAATTTTGGCATCTGGTTCAGACCGGAAGCACTACGTTTGGGTGGAGAATGAGCGATCGACGATGGTGAGTTCCTTTTTGCGGTGAAAAAATATCCTGTAACGTTTTGTAACACCATATACAACAAACGCCCGACGGGTTGTACGGCGGGCCGGAGAGATTGCCGAAAAGTGACCTCCGTGATTTCCTCCAACATCTCGGAGATTATAATTACCACGACGATGCACTTAATGTGCTTCGAAGGTGGGGTTATATAGCTCCATCTGTGAATAAGGCAGCTTAAAGGGGCCCTGCAATCATATTTAAGCGTCTACCTCTTTTGTGGTTTCCACGTCTCTTGGGGTTCGGGCAAGCCAGCGGGCGCAGAGAGAGTAACTAAATATCAATGCGTCATATTTTAACCGGACGACGCGGAAACCTCCTCCACCGACGAGGGCGACCCGCGGTACCGAAAGCGCGCAAAATGTGACGTCTTTGGTCCTGGGCTCACTACTGGTTAGAGCCGCTAAAAGCTTCTTTTTTGTCGAAATACAAAATATAACTGGCGCGAATCGTTTCAATTATTTATAAAAGTAGTTTTTGTTCGGTAATTTAGATCAAAAACGAAACGAATGCAGTTCATAAAGTACGGAAACAAGAAATGACCCGTCGACATACCCACCACCAAGCGTTGGAAAAGAAAAGACGGCGCATACTAGAAATAAGTAGTGGGATCAGGCGCCGACACGGAAAGGTCCCGGATGTACGCGGCGGTGCTGCGGTCGTGTTGGACAGGAGGATCCGACCGGCTCCGAGCGTTCCGAAGGCCTTCGGCGAGAAGCTTTGTCTTGCGGTTGGGCCATTTCGCGGTATGGCAGCGCAAAGTAGCTCCCATTCTGCACTGACCTTTACCCCGTGTTTGCTGTGGTTTGTGGCCAATGAAGTGTCATGCCGAATTAGTATTTAATCGTGCAGCAAATGCAACGAGAGCCGCTTTGGCTGCCCGCTGCATACAGCCTATCCACAACACGGTTTAATGGCGCCCTCTCGCGCCGTCGACACGGAGTGTGGCAGCCGTGAGCCCTCGATGAGCTCACTACTTCTCCTCTAGTTCACGGCCACTCTCAAGCAAGCAAGGACGTCATGAGGGAGGTTATTTTCTGCTTGTTTTGGTAATTTTAATTTGCCCATAACTTTTAAAATAAAGAGAATTTCGAGAAGAGAAAAGTTTCACTAAGTTACTACGTTCAGTGCGCTCAGGTTCGGTGCAAATTAAAAATTAGTAAAAAAGTAATTGCAGGGCCCCTTTAAGGACTACCATGAAGATCTTTAAAGGGGCCCTGCAATCATATTTAAGCGTCTACCTTTGATGCGGTTTCCACGTCTCTTGGGGTTCGGGAAAGCCAGCGGGCACGGAAAGAGTAGCTAAATATCAGTGCGCCATATTTTAACCGGACGACACGGAAACCTCCTCCACCGACGAGGGCGACCCGCGGTACCGAAAGCGCGCAAAATGTGACGTCTTTGGTCTTGGGCTTACTACTGCTCAGAGCCACTAAAAACTTATTTTTGGTCGAAATACAAAATATAAGTGGCGCGAACCATTTCAATTATTTATAAAAGTAGTTTTTGTTCACTATTATAGATGAAAAAAAGAAAGAAATGCAGTTTATAAAGTACGGAAACAAGAAATCACCCGTCGACAGACCCGCCGCCAAGCGGTGGAAAAGGCGGCGCATACTAGAAAGGAGTAGCAGCATAGGGCGCCGACACGGAAAAATCCCGGATGTACGCGGTGCCGCTGCAGTCGTATGGACAGGAGGATCCGACCGGCTCCGAGCGTTCCGAAGGCCTTCGGCGAGAGGCTTTGTCTTGCGGTTTTGCCGTTTCGCGGTATGGCAGCGCGAAGCGGCTCCCAATCTGAACTGATCTTTACACCGTGTTTGCTGTCGTTTGTGGCCAATGAAGTGTCATGCCGAATTAGTGTTCAATCGCGCAGCAAACGCAATGAAAGCCGCTTTGGCTGCCCGCTGCATACAGCCTATCCAGAACATGCTTTAGTGGCGCCCTCTGGCGCCGTCGACACGGAGTGCGGCGGCCGTGAGCGCTCGATGAGCTCACTATTCCTCCTCTAGTTCACGGCCACTGAAGCCAGGGCCTACGACGTCATGAAGGAGGTTATTTTTTGCTTGTTTTTGTAATTCTAAATTGCCTACAACTTTTAAAATAAAGCGTATTTCGCGAAAAGAAAAGTTTCACTAGGTTACTACGTTCAGTGCGCTCAGGTTCGGTGCAAATTAAAAAACAGTAAAAAGTCCTTGCAGGGCCTCTTTAAGCTCAATTCCAAGAATGTTAGGCTTATATGTGATTCCATTTCGCAAAGCACTAGTAAACAGCCCTACGTCTTCAGATTCTGAAAATGTGGGATATTATTTGTGTAATTTAGTTTAAACATCATTAGATATGGAAACCCGAACTCTGGTTGCGTCCGGCAACATTGGTCTCGTGTCGTCAGAGCCGTGTCCACGTCACGTCGAACCACGTGGTCCGAAAGGTCACGTGATTCTCTACGCGACGGGGCGCGAACGTAGAGCAAAACGCAAGTATCGTCTGCTCCTCTTTTTTCTCCAATGTACAGGGTGAAACAAGGAGACGCCAGGCTCTTTAAATCGACCGGAAAATTCGGTTTCTTAACCTATCGCGCTAAGACTTTGTGCAGCGTTGCCCACAGATGTTGCATTTTTTTTGTAAAATTTGCAAAGAGCGAACTTACTTGAGGAAAAAGTAAAGAAAGAAAAAGTCTTATCTCCTATGGAAACGCAGCGACGCCACCGGTCTGCAAATAACACGGCGCCGTTTCGCACGGGAGACAAGAGATGGCGCAACAAACGCCACCAACGAACGAGCATACGGCGCCGAGTGCAGGCCTTTTTAGCAGACAATCTTTGCGACTAAAAAGTGGTGCGCGTTCCGCAGGCGGCGACAGTCGCAGAAACAAAAAAGACAGGCGCGGTAACAGCAAGGAACTGCAGTTCCTTGTCTGCAAAAGGGCCGGCTCTCGGCTTCGTCTGCTCGTTCGTTGGCGGCAGTTGGCGTCGCGACCGCTTGCGCCATCTCTTGTCTCCCGTGCGAAACGGCGCCGTGTTGTTTGCAGACCGGTGGCGTCGCTGCATTTCCATAGGAGCTAAGCCTTTTTCTTTCTTTACTTTTTTCTCAGGTAAGTTCGCTCTTCGATAATTTTTCAAAAAAAAAAAAAAAATTCACCATCTGTGGGCAACGCTGCACAAAGTCGTAGTGCCATAGGTTAAGAAACCGAATTTTCCGGTCGATTTAAAGAGCCTGGCGTCTCCTTGTTTCACCCTGTAGTTTGCTACAACATCCAACGACGTCTGCACCACTGCGGTCCGAGCTTGCGCTTGTTTCCAAAAAAGTAAGTTTTCTCAAACGCAGAAGCGTTTGTAGAAGCTGAGGAATACTAAGCAACACATGTCTGAGCGTGCCACAACCAATTTTCGAAGAAACAAATGAACTGTAGCAGTGTCAACAGCGTAGTGTGTTCGCTTTTCCTCACGATAACGTTGATGCCATAGAGCTTAGTTACAACAAATATCGCACAGCCCACGAAGCTCTGTTGTGTGAAGATACGTGCCAAATTATCGTTCCGCCTACACGCCACAATAATGTGTCACCAAAAGTTTGGCGACAGCAAAGCTTTCGGCAGTGGTCCAGACGTGTCTACATTGTGTGGATGGTTCCCATCCACATTATGTGAACACCGCGCGA